TTAGGGTTTAGGGTTCAGAGGTTCATGGTTGCAGTAAGCCCAATAGAGTTGGAACCGGAATGGAAACAGATACTGCTGGGGGGAAATATAGATCGCGGAGGCCACCCTGCATGAAGTACGCGATCCGCCAATGGAATGTTTCGAACTTCATGGCAGCTACTCTGACCCTATATGGGTCCATGTCTATATATATATATATAGATCTCGCAGAGCCAATATGCAAAGCTACATTCCGACAAAAATATCTACCACATGCCATAGGCCCTGTAAGGAAGCAGCCATATGCCCTAAGCCGCAGTCGTGAGCTGTGTTGCCCCTGCAGGACCTACTCCAACCTACCCTGCATGCCCCGTACCTCAAACTGTGTTTTGTTCACCCAAGGGCTCTTGCGCGCAGTAGCTGTGCAGGATCCCTGTTTTATGGTTATCAGCTCGATCATTGTTATGCTTGTTTACTCTGTGTCTGTACATATATATATATAATATGTTTAAATGTATGTATATATATATACACACATAGATATACATCTGTAGATATAGGTAGATAAGTAAATAAAAAATATATGTATGTATATATATATGTGTGTGTGTGTGCACATGGGCCATCAGGGTTTCGCCTGCCCTAAGCCCTAAACCCTCTCCCTTATTATGCCGGGTTCAAGGACCTCTTCAAGCAGCTCATGGACGGCCTGGCGCACGTGCACGACATGCGTGTCGTTCACAGGGACTGACGAGGTTTAGGGTTGAGGGTTTGGGGACTTGATTCCCTAAGGGTCCATGTACCCAAATAGTAGATACTTTGGCCCTAATGTAGTCCCTATATAGGTACTTTAGGGCCAATGTATGTACTATTTGGGCACATGGACCCTTAGGGATTCACAGTTAACCCTGCAAGGTTCTCGATACAAGGTCAGCGCTTGCAGCCGCTTGCAGCTAGGTCTTGGGGCGTGGGCTTCATCAGGTTTGTAGGTGGTGTTTGAAGTGCCTGTCAGACTTGGTGGTTTTGTTTGCATCAAACCCTATAAGGGCCTAAACCCTAAACCCTAAACCCCTAAACCCTAAACCCTAAACCCCTAAACCCTAAACCCCTAAACCCTAATCAGTCTTGACAGCTTTGTCTTGGCTCTGGGGCTCCTAAGGGTGTTTAGGCTCAAGGTTGTATTTTCTCCAGACGATCCTTTCAGTCCACGGCTGAAACATACAGTGATCCTTCTTACGGTTGCTTGGGGTTAAGGGGTTTAAGGTTTAGGGCTTATGCGCCCAAAGATCCTTTTCTGAAGCGCTAGGGGCAACAAATCCGAATAAATAAACCGAAGAAGACATAGCAAACCGCACGCATGCCCTTGCAACACAAAACAACGCTTAAGATAGGGATCGAATAATTTCCCGTTCCATAGTATATATATATACTGTTATTGTGATATGGCATACCCAAAACCCTGTTCCAACCATTAAGGCCTAGCATAGTAAGCTTGAGTCGCACCCCAGAATCCGAAAGATAGAGCTCTAAAGCGTCCTAGATCAAGAAATCTCTTCTTGTCAGTGCATCAGCTTTAGGATGACTTTTGTGAAAGAAGTTGGCCGACAACGCCAAAAACAAAAAAAAAACAGGAGCCAGAGCAATATGGGTAGTTCCCTAATTGGAGGCCCGCGTTTAGGTCCCCCAAAATATTACGGCACCCTCATAAAAAAAGAACCCCAACAGGGACCCTAATTTAGAGAACTACCCTTAGACCACCCTTGTAGAATCCCTATATATCCTTATAGATAAATTGAAGCAACCCCATATGTCATCCAGTTTAGAGAACTACCCACCTGGCCCTAAACCCTAAAAGCCTAAAGCCCTAGACCCTAAATCCCAAACCCCAAAACCCTCAACCCCTGAACCTTAAAACCCTAAAACC